CTCACCTGTCCCTCCCACCAGTTTCCATCAGCATCCTGCCGTCCCCTGCTCTCCCCACCTGCACCTATTCAGTACTCTGGACTTTATATATCAGGAAACAGGTAGAAAATGCAGGTAGCAGGTTCACAGGGAAACACTAGGAAACCACTGAGGAACAAGGGAAAGGAACCAGGTATATAAAGTCCAGAGTTACTGAATGAGGTGCAGGTGGGGAGAGCAGGGGACGGCAGGGCTGATGGAAACAGGTGGGAGGGACAGGTGAGCAGGAGATGAGGGGAGAGGCGAGGCTTAGGAGGAAAGACGGGGAGACGGAGACAGGGGCTGACTCTAGACTAAAAGCTGCTGACAAACCGTCTCTGTCCCCCTCTCAGCTCCCTCCGAGCGATGACGGCCGCACGCTCCACATGAAGCGGGGGTTGCTGGTTCAACGCCTGGAGCAGGCTGACGCGGGCCTCTACACCTGCACCAGCCACGAGCACTCCTACAGCCAGGTCCTGGCCCGGTACCGCGTCCACATCATCCCCAACCACAGCCTCCACCCGACCCGCTACCAGCAGCACCACGCCCCAAACCACGGGAGGACCGGCCCGGCCGGAGCGGCGGTCTCCGGGTTTCTCGGCCAGTCTGGGCCCCCTCATCCGCCACCTCAGGTGCCGGGACACAGGAACTCGTGGCTGCCCCCCCAGCATCCGCAGCAGCTCCCTGTGAAGAGCTACAAGGACCTGCACATGGTGGGGACCAACAGCCTGAGCGTGGACGACTACTGCGAGCAGCTGTGGTACCGCGAGAAACGCCGGCAGCAGAAGCTCCGCGCTCTGAAGCTGAAGCAGGAGAGCAGGAAAGCCCGGGTGAGGAGGAACAACCCCCCCGAGACCCCCCTCTAGTCACCTGGACAACACAGACACTGTCTACGGACAACGCATCCTGCACGTGCAGAGGTTACATCAAGGATGTTTGCTTTTTGAGCAAATGATGTCAACCAGTAAAGTAATATTCAACAAAGAGAATAGTATATCCTGAATAGTTTGACATTTAGACACTACAAAAAAATAGAAATAGCAAAGTAGAAAAAAAAAGTTGTTTGTCTCTGAATTTATCTTGTTAGAAAGTTCGTCAGTTTGGAACGTAGGACAGTAGAGCTCTGAGCTTCAGCTACAATTGAAAATCTTATTTTTCCAAGTCAAAGTTTGGAAGAAATCCAGCCCCACATGACGCCATCAGGTGTCTGAATCCCTTTAGAACGAGTCACGTATTATTGGTGTGTAACACAGTTGATCCTGTATATTTAATGCAGACAGTTTACAAGACAACACACTGTATCGTCCGGTCACGTCAGCACAAACAGAGAGACACGGTGAAAAGGGAAAAGATGCATGTGGTCGTGTTTTGTTTGCAGGCGTCTAAATATACATTTATATTTGTTGTTTTTTTTCTAAAAATATCCAGCAGGATGATTGTCTGGCTGCTAACATCAAAAACCAACTGATCTGAGTTTTAAAAACCTGTTTTATTACTTTGCTTCTTACTGCAAGTGATGGGATCCTACATAAAAACAACAGCTTCTTCCAAATATACAACTTTTTTTTGTGTTTTATTCTGAGCTCTTCTCCCTGGTTTGAAGTGGATGAAGTGAATTTTTATTTTTATGCAGAATTTTAATTAAAATCTGATCATAGTTGTTGGATTGTTTGTTTGTGCTTCCAACTCTGTCGATCAGATTTCATTAAATCACATTCACACACTCCAGATGAAAAAGATTTGCTAATTTTTAAACAGTTAATAAATTGTAGTTTTTTGCAAACTTAACTTGACTGTTGCTTATTTTGTCTTTTACTATTGAATATTCTTGTGAAATATTCTAGATTTGAAGCCAAGTTTTCAGGGTTTCTGAAGTCACTTCTTGTAGTGTTAGAGACCAGTGGCCTGAACTATTTACTTTAATGCAATGACTTTTCCACAACAATCCTTTTCTATTTTGTCCCTTTTTCTACCTAAACTATCTCCTCAGACTGTCTGTCAGTGCCGCGGTGCACCAGTGGCACCAAACAGCTGACAGGTGAAAATGTATCAGGATCTCACACACATTGCAGACCGACGTTTATATATAAATGTCATATATATGAAAAGTGTTTGCCCGGTTTACTGCTACATATTTAACTGTGTTTAACAAAAACATATAATGTTTTCTACATGTATTTATGTTTGTTCTGAGACGTAATGCTGATCTACGCTGATAAGATCTAGGCTTCATACAAACCTGACGGGTGGATTTAAAGGCCTCAGTGGAAACGCACATGAAATGGACCTTGCTTGAAAATACATTATGTATAGCTTATTAATTCTGCCATGTAACTAATAATTATTATTCACGTCAGTGTATATTAAAGAACTCTATTTTTGATAGTTTTCTTTCTTCGTGTAGAAGAATTTAGTACATTTTCCTCAGTGTTTATATAAACGTTTGTTTTTGATAAGCAATTTTTTTTATGTCACAACTCTAATAAGCTTTGAGATCAAGAACTGAATAATGAAACTGTGTTATACTGTATGTGAATAAGCCACTAAATGACAACTTACATGTAAAATAAAACAAATAAACACATTCAGATGTTTTACATTTTTTGTGTAATATTTCTATGGTTGAATTTGAGGTCAGAGATAGTCACCCTGTCACCAGACTACTGCAGGTTTGTTGGGAGCTGTATGTCATTTTGATTATGTTAGAATGGACTGAACAAACTTGGCTAAATGAATTGATGTCAAGCATCGACTCTGTATCGGCTCAGCATCATGTAATCTTTGGCTTGTAATGTGTAAAATCCTGTCAACACATTTAAGAGTAAAAGAGGTCACATTCCTGCCTGGAGAATGAAAAAGATAATGAAGATATTTGGCCTAATATCAGGGCTGCATTAACTCACAAAGGGGCCAAAGGGTACATCCTGGTTCCTCTCAGGTAGTGTGCATTGTGGTCGCATCCTGTGGCTTTTTGTAAACATCACGTACAGAGCACAAGGCAGACCACATAGAGCTGCTTCCTTTTTTGTTTTGTTTTTTGACTGGGGAAACCAACCAGTACTCTTATGCTGCACTGATATCTGAACCCAGGTTTGAGTATTAGTTAGCGTGTGATCATTTTACTGAACTCAAATTAGAGCCATTAGAGCCCTGAGGAAGTTGTTCCTTTGTCAGGCTGGTTTGCCTGTCCTGATTACTACTGAGCTCAGAAAAATATTATTATTATTATTATTATTATTATATATGATATTATATATATTATATATATTATATATTATATTATATTATAAATATCAAACATATTGTTGTTATTATTATAAATATTAAACATTATTATTATTAATAGCATCATCATTATTATTGTTGTTATTTTTGTTATAATTATTATTATTAATATTATAACATGATATGATTAAAAGAAACATACAGTTTAAATGCATGTTGGAAGAGATGAGTGACTCCAGGAGGTGGCAGTAAAGTGCAACAACATGACTACAAACTAAAACACCACAGAAGAAGACGTCAACAACTGCAGCCAAGCTAACCGTCACAGTAAGAAACCTCCTTGAAGATGCAATAAGGGGAATATATAGTCACCCAGTTAATTATCTCAAGGTAACCGGGTTTAACAGAGAGATTTTGTTTTGTTTTTCTGCCATTTTAACGCTTCAGACTCCAGTCCGGTAGGTGGCGGTAATGCACGTGCAAGCTGGTTTCCAACCGTCAATCAAACTAAAAGAAGAAGAAGAAGAATTCAACGACTCATTTGAACGACACTAATGGAAACGCGGCTGAGGGGAAAGTAGCAGAAAATTTGAATAACTGTCACCGGCTAAGGTAAAGATGTGCTCACACGAAAGAGTAAAAGTTTCCTCCACGTTTGTAGTTCATGTTTGCGCGGGACGTTGACCGACTTCACGGCTGTTGCTGTCAGTTTGGCTCTCTGCTAGCTAAGTTAGTTAGCTGTCGCTAGCTAGCCCGCTCATGCTGACTTGCGTGGTTCATTGACTGTGTGTCTGCTTAGTTTTCCAGTCAATGGGAAACATTGTAGTCGGATTACCAGTACTCACAGTTATCATCCTGTTTCCACAGCATCCGCTTGTTTCAGTGGTGAGCGCGTTTGTTTTCTGCTGAGGAGGCTGACGAAGGAACTGAATAAATAATAAAGTTTTGTGTGTGAATTTACCGCCAACAGGTAGGATTCAAGTGGACTGTACACAGGAAGGAGTAAACTTGATGGTCCTACATGGCTGCCCCAACGTTACAACAGCCCAGTTTCCTACTGGTGAGTCTCTCTTTATATGATTGTTTACATTTTCCAATAGAGAACCTGCATGACCATAGCCACTGATCCCATCACTGTCATACAAGCTTTAGCTGTCTTAGCTTTTAATGATAGTTTTTGACTTCCATCTGAGTAATTCGAGTCCAGTTTAATTGGCATTTTGAATGAGCCTCCAACTTTGTGATTCACAAAATGTGTTTTTTTTTTTTTTATGTCTAATGTAGCATTTAATGTAAAATCTTAATACAGTCCGGCCCCAACAGGGCTCCATGTACACTTTTGAAATGCAGCATTATTAGATACCCGTCCTGATGCAGATTTCTGATTATACTTTCACAGGGTTCATAAAAGTCTATAATAAAAAATGCATATATATTGTATCAGTCATTTAAAATTATAAGTTCACTTCATACAGTCTTATGGTTGTGATCTTCACTTGCACACTGTGGTTTCCTTTTGGTTCACTTATATCTATGTTAAGTTTCAAGTAAACATGATGCTACCACTAACCAGCTGTTCATGAAAAATCTGAAAAATATATTATATCGAGTATCAGCCCAAGCCTGGTTTAATTTAATATATATGTATCTGATGTTGCTCCAGGCCAACCTCAAAGCCGATGCGACCACCAAACCTCTCCTGCAGCGATGCCAAGATCTGGTGAAGATCATTGATGACTATCCTGCAAAGGTACTGTCCACTCTTCCACGCTTCTGTCTCGTGTTTGCAAATGAATTTACTTGTGAATGGCTAATTGCTGGAATGACTGATCACTGTGAGACATAAAAACTGGATCACAACATTAACTCCACATGGTGAAAGATTACAGCTCCTGTTCTAGAGTTTATTCATTCCCTATGTGCTGTACAGAGTAGCAGCTGTATTCTGAACACTATACAGTGTCTTGTTGGTCTCCCCTTAGTTTTTGTACAAGCTTATTAGTTAAAAATAGCGGGACAGGAATGTCACTGGATTTGTATAACGCAAACACAACACTATAAGTCTTATCCAATGTTTTTCTCTCTCTTAACTGGTCGGAGGAGGGCAGGACTGATCTAGCCTTTTATGTCCAGGGCTTTAAGCATGAGGAGTCAGCTGCTGGTAGTGTGACAGCTGACTTTCACTGTGAGCATCTTGACTTTCTCTTGTGTTCTTTGTATTGGAATTTGAAAAAAAGATGCACATAAGTCTAAGATAAAAGATTGAAGTCACACTGTAGTTATGCTGGTATTAGGGATGCAGATATCTCATCCGATTGGACTCTTGCATTTAGATGTCAGTTTGTACACAATCACTGGTGGTTGTTGTTATTATTAAAGCACAAAAATAGCACAGTAATAATTGTTCTTCTGGGTATGTGAGGATGTTGAATTGGACAATTGAGGTTCTGTTTGACAGCAGCTGTTGTGCTGTTGGTGTTTGAGCGAGTGACACAACGGACGAGTGTGAGGCAGCAGGATTACAGTCTGTGTGTGGGTTGCATTGTGGTCTGTAGCTTCAGTACCAGCAATTTCACAGTAAGACAGTGAGCCCAGAGCACAGCACTGATCCATAACCATCCGCACCTGGTGTCTGATGTCTGCTTTTTTAGTTTTGTTTTCAGGAACAATGTGTTTCTTTCTTTCTTTATAAACTGAGCATTTTCCTACATGTACACTGCACTTTATATTTGTTGTTGCGCTGCTTTAGGTCACAGAAGTTATTAAAAATGCCACAAGTTCTTACTTTGACATGATGGACAGTTGACGAATATTTAAACAAGGGACTTGTCATCCCTCTTTTGTTGTGTGTAATCTTGCAGGCATTACATTTTGCAGTTGTTGCTTTGACTTTGATGCACATATCCAGACTACTCTGCTATATTCAGTCAGTCAGTCTTGTAAACAGCTGCTCTGCTCATCTTGCACATGTTGGTGTACGTCACCAGTCTTTGTCTTTGTAGTTTCCTTTAGTGTCAGAGGGCAAAACTGGAACTAAATGGAACTTGCTATTAGAATCCATCCCTAGTTATATTGTGTGTTGTAGCTCCCAGAAGTCAGAGGCTGCCACAGTGGTGCTTTGCTTTGACTAACTCAATCCATAATTTAAATAATATTTACATTGCCAACATGTTGTTTCACTGTAGTTCTGCGTTGTGCTGTTGCTAGTACGACCACAGTAAAGATTTCCATTCAGTCATTAAACCTTATATGTCTGTCTGTCAGTGTACTGTGTTAAAACGTATTGTTACTTGCCAGTTTCTGATTACACTGTGTGTGTGTGTATATATGTGTGTGTGTGTGTTTCCCTTTAGGAGCTGCACTTGATTTTCCCCTGGCTGGTGGAGAGTGTGTTCGGCAGCCTGGACGGCATCATCGCAGGCTGGAACCTGCGACTCCTGCACTCAAGGAGCAATGAGTACAACATCGTTATGGACTTCCTAAACCCCAGGTAGTTGGTTTATCTGTTTTTGTTCCCATCACGTTTGTTCATTGTGTGTTTAAAGAATCAAGTCAAACATTGTTCTTTTCTTTTTTTTTTCTTTTCAGTGGGCCAATGATGAAACTCGTGTATAAACTTCAAGCAGAGGAGTACAAATATGAAATACCTGTCAATTATCTGCCGGTAGGAACATTTGTCTCGTTTGATATAAATCTGTTTAAGAATAATGTTGTAGCAGTCACGTTTCCTCTGTAATTCACATTGAGACATTTACTGGAAACAAGAGGATGAACTGCTCCACATAAACAGAGTCCAAGCATCGAGCCAGCTACCACATGATCTTCATTACATATTAGGAATTTTAGGTTAAAGCCTATAAAAGGACTCTACACATCTTCATCTACTCAACAACTGCTTTTACAGACCTGGTGTGTGACAGAATGACTCTAGGAAAACAGTGACCAAGTAAATAACACTACGTAATTCAGGCGTCGCCACAATGCAAGTTCAAATATGTTTATCGAGTCTGCAGAGATTCACATTTAAACATTAACACCAGCCGACATCCGCCACACACACAAATGCTTAATATTAGTAACTGGTATTTGTTTGGCACCGTGTCAAACATATCCACCTCGGTCTATCTCACTGTGTAACTCCGTGTGTCTTGAAGGGTCCTGTCAAGGCCTGCATCCAGGAAGGAGTTCTCCCAGACTGTCCGCTGTTCCACAACAAGCTGCAGTTCCCCCTGTCCGGCCTGCTGTCCCTGAACCTCGCTCTCAGTATCCTCTACAACAAAAGCAGCAAATCCTCCCACAGGAGAAGTGTAACCAGAGGATGTGAAGCTTTTCTTTTTCACGATAAATGACTGAAACGACTGAGCAATAATCAAAATAGTTGCAGATATTTTTTAATGGCAATCAACTAATCGATTAGTCGACCAGTCGCTTCAACTCTAATCAGTTATGTAATTTGTTTTAAGACGTTACAGCTACAGGTGTGTATTGTGACATGGACTTTTACGTCATTGAGCAGTTTGATTATTCCTTAACGTTTTGCAGATCCGTTTGAATTCTTCATGTTCAATTTTGCCTTCTGTCTCATCACGCCAAAGGTGAGTTTGCCAGAGTCTGGGCTGTCTTAGTAGTGCAGTGTATCTTGACATTTTTAGCATTTTATCCACTAAAGTTTGTCCCGAGCCGTGGGCTGTTTCAAGACTTTGATTTTTCCAAGTGAGATGTTTTACCTTAATCCATTCAAAGCAGACTGACCTTTTAAAGCTTTGCACAAAAAAGAAAAACGTTAATAAGAAATAACCTGGGTGGTGTTTTCAGATCTACCCCCAAGGCCAACATGGAAGCTCCACAGACAGCGCCTACTTTGTTCTGGTGGACACTTACCTGAAATACTTCCTCCCCAGTGAAGGAAGTGTGCCTCCTTCTCCTTTCTCCGACTCCAGAGGCTCCGTCACTGCTCCGTCGCCAAGGTATTTATACCGAGAAAAGTTTAATAAACCCCTCGAGAGTCGTATCTGATCACCTGAAAGTCAGGATTCAAAGAAACCTTTTGATGGAAAAGCTCCAGGGTGGAGATGGACTGATTGATGCAGTGCTATGGTTAAATCTAAATTCTGCCCCCACAGATCTTCCAGCGTGACCTTTGCTGGTTATGGCGTTCACAGCCCCAGTCTCCTGAAACATCACATATTCCACCAGCCCTCAGTCAACGCTGACCCCGCAGCCCAGGAAATCTGGAGGTCCGAAACACTGTTACAGGTGAGGTTCAAGTCAATTATATTCTAGAGACGGGAGAAGAAAAAAAAATCAAGTGAATTAAATAAAAGCTGAACACGTGTTGCTTCCTTCTCCTCAGATGTTTGTGGAGATCTGGCTCCATCACTACTCCCTGGACATGTACCAGAAGCTGCAGTCTCCTCAGGTGAAGGTAGGAGAACAGAAAACATGTTCCCTCTCCTTCTCCCTCTCCCTCTCCCTCTCCCTCCCCTCTCTCCCTCCTTTGCACTGCAGCGTCGCACGGCTGGCTGTTGACTGGCTGACCACAATCCTCCCTCCCTCCACCATCTCTGTCCCGTCTCGGAGCAAGCCCAGGGTGGGGAAGTGGTGCTGGCCAGCAAGCCCCTGTGGTGTCAGCCACCCGGGCGCCTGACCAGCTAACGTTTGAAAGTCCTCTACTCTAAAACTGCGTTCTGCAAAATTGCGCATGGGCTGAGTTTTTAAGATACAACAGCCACTGTGGCTGGTAAATACCAAACACACCCTGAGCAGGCTGGGGTGAAGTTGTCCACGAACTTAGACGTGGAGAAAACTTACTTTGGGATCGGGAAAATGTTTTGTTTATCACCAGTGACGGACAACTTCACCCACAACTCTCTGTGTTCACACTGCAAGCAAGTGCATTCCCATGTATTCCCACGCACATCGAACAGCAGCACGTGATTTCCTGTTAATGTTTGAAACTGCTACTAGTTAATTTGCACTGACGAACAAGTTAAATAGTGTCTCGAGCTCCTTGCAGTGTGAATGCACATCAAGCGTTCCTGTTCCCACTTTGAAAGCCTCTGATTCTCTGGTTTATATTTGAAGTATGTTTTTAAATCCCTTTTTTTTAGCATCAGTAGCGTTTGAGTAGCTGCAGAGTAAAACTGCTGCAGTAGGTGACTTGGCATGTGTTCCTGGTATTAGTGCTTTTGCTTTTCTTCCACTTCATTTGCATGCTGCATGTCCATGTCACAAGTGTTGGTTTTGTTGGTATGTTCCGTGTGTGGTTGCATGTTAGACACCAACATAAAGTCACAACGTGGTGAAGGCTTTCTGGAGACTCTGTCGAGGATTCATAGTGAATGATTGGATCCCCCGTCGATAATACAGCGGAGTTCAAACATTTTCATGTCAAGGATCTCCAAGCAGAAATTGACTACAGCCCATACTGCTAGTTTTTATCTCGGCTTTGTTAAATATCTTTTTATTATAAAACAAGAGAATAACACAGCGTCAATGAAAAATCAAACAAACACCCAGGCTGCAAATGTAATAAGGTTGTCTCATCAGGGTTTCACAATATGAAATACAGATGATTGATTTGCGGTAGAAGCATCAATGAATCCATAGTTTGACTCTTGAGTGGAAACTCTTGAGTTTCTCATTCTGAATATGTTGTGACGACCATGTTGATAATTTGGTTTCCCGCCCGTCAAAAGCAGTCGCAGCGAGACTTTATGCTGGTGTTGGTTCCCTCTACCTGCACCGTGCAGACGACATGTCGGATTAACCGCCCAACAACACTGTTTCCTCCAGTATTTATGTTGCAGTATTGTTGTTGCAACAGTTCATTTTCATCATTGATGAAATCTGGCCATTGTTTTTGTTTATATTTAAGTATAAATATAAAAAACAAGTATAAATCTACAGAGTCAGAGGAAGGAAAAACAGCAAATCCTCCATTTAACTGAGGACCATATTTGATAATATCACAAATTACAACATTATTTTTCATAATAAATAAATAAATATTTATATATTTTAAATTATTTTTCTGTTTTGGACAGTCTGCTCTGCTGCGGAGTCAAACCCTCATTTCACTGCTTTGCCTGCTGTACATTGTACCTTTGTCATGTGACAAATGGAAAAATACAATAATATAATAACAGCCCCTGCAATAATATAATATATCACCATATTTGGGCTGGACTCTTATTGAGATATTAAATTTTGGATATCGAGCCTTCCTCCGTTACTGCTGCATAAAGCTGCACAGGAAACAGAGGTAGTCCTTCACTCTGTGTGTAACATGCTGACCACTGACCTGCATCATAAACACAGTATTTAGTCGAACGCTCAGCCCTTTAAAACATATTAACCACTGTGCTGAGTCATTGTGTTGTGTCATGTGTCCATCCTCGGTGCAGCAGACTGGACTTTGAACTGCAAGATTATGGCCACGCTGATTTCAAGGTCGGATCTCTCACTGAGATTCTTCGTAGATCTAAAGTAAAGATTGTCTCCCTGTTGGATGTCATCAAATCTTAATTCATATTTAAAACAGGATTTGTTTAGTACAGACGAAGTGACCAGACCACAGGACACAATATGTTCTGTATATTACACTGTTGATGGAGCAAAACAAAATCTTCCAGTTCTGAGTTCACTCTGTTGATGATGTTAAACATTAGGGATGGGAATTATTCAAGCTGGTATCCAGATTCTATTTAAATGTCCATCTGGAAACATGGTGCAGTACTTCACTCTGAGATGTATGGATGTGTTCGTCCACTCGCTGCTGCTCTCCTGGATGAGATTGATGACAGCACATTGAAAGTAACGTATCTCCCCACAACCTCCCACCGCAGCAGATCTCTCATTGCCTCATAGAGAAGCACATGAACAATACAGCTGAGTCAAATAATTGTTATTTACTTGTCAATGGACAGAAATATTTCCATTATTCACAGTTTCCTTTGACAAATGATTCCCATCCCTTCGCCCATGTTAATCCTCTGTGTCTGGAGTGTACGAACGGCCTGTGCATCGTTCCCCAGCAATTAAAGCGTTGTGTTTCCTCAGTCAATATTTTATTTTTGTTTGTCTCCTCTCCTGTTTTCTGCTCCTTTCCTCCTGAATGTTTTTGGCCAATTGTCTCTGTCTGGTTGCACTTTCCTTTTTTTCTCATGTTTACCTTCCTCCTGCCACCTTTTCTTTCCCTTCCTCCTCTTCCTCCTCTTCCTCACCCTCCCTTATTGTCACTTCTCCCCTTCCTCTCTCTTCGCTGTTGTTCCTTCTCCACCCTCTGCCGTTGTCTTTGCTCTTCCTCATCTTCCTCTCCCCCCTGGTGGTTACGGGTGAACAGCTGGCGCTGCTGCAGTACCGCCTCAGTATGTCCAGCATGCCGTGCCAACCCCACGCCCCACCAGGCTCTGGGACCCTCCACACCTACCAAGTACTTTTACCTTTTCATTCACCCCCGCCCCTCTGGGGCCTCCTGGAGGTAAACCTCAGTCAGTTAAGGTCACAGTCAAGGTTACTTCTCTTTTTGTTTTTGGCGAACACGGTGAGACATTGTCCCTCCAATCACCAGCCTGATGCTCACAGACATTAGCTGCAGCTCATTAGTTTGCATGCTTCATCCTGCTTTTGCAATAATTAGCCATTATGAGAATGTTTTAGCTTTTCTGAAATCAGCTAGAAAAAGGTGAAAGTGGTTGGTGATTTGTGATGTACAATAGATTGTCACCTAATAAATAAATACAAACAATCAGACGACCAAGACTCAAAAATGGCAGAAGTTCCCTATTTATTTTGTCCTGTTTTATACTTTTAGGAAAAAGGATTAGTTCTCCTTTTTAATGATTTTAGGACGTTCAGCTGAAATCCACAAGCAGCAGTGTTCGGTCCTGACCCGCGATCTGAGAAACCAAAGATTCTGTTGTTAACCCGTAAACGTCGTTTACGACGGGCTGAAAACAGTTTCACAGGAAGTCTTTGAGTCTGTCTGTAAACAGTGAATTGAGAAGTATCCTTGACAGCGAATTAATCCTGGAATGACGCTTTGAATCTATGAGCAGATGTTTTTTTTACTGGTTGTGGTGTGGTTCTTTTATTTTTGCGGTGTTTATTTTTAAAGGCATGCTTCTTACACTATGTCTGGTGTGATCTGTTGCTCTACGTGTTCATGTGGGTGATAAATGTTGCTCTTTGTAAAGCAAAAGAAACTACTACGTTTGAAACATCAGTTTACATGCCAGTCATGAAATCGCTTCATAATCAAAACGCCTAGATTCGCATACAAAGTACTGAATAGAGGTAACGATTATGTTTGCGTTACCCAGGTGATATTTGACGAAGCAGCTTTGCCGTAAGCAGGTAATAGAGTAGTGAGGTCCCACCTTTCATTCTGTTTCCCACAGTTATTTATTAAAATGCTAATTTATTCTTACATTTTAACAAATCCCAAAGTCTCCAAGTTAATGATTAAGCATCTACATTATATATCAGGAGTTCTTTATTTGTAAAATCCTCAATCACTCCTTAGTGTGAGAGAAAAACTTAACTTTTGGTTGTAAGAACACAGAGGCAAGTGTCACTGCTGCGAAAAAGTTTAGGATTAAATGATGATGATAAAAAAAAAGTGAAAGAACAAGAATAAACAAAATAAATTCTACAATAAACTCAGTAAAAACAAGCAGATCCATCAGGGTTTGGAAGCTAAAGGATGAACAGATGGATCAGACAGAAGCAGGCGCTCGCTGTGACTCACCTGTGGGACCTCCGTACTCTATCACGAAGAACGAGCTCTGAGCCTTTGATGATTGTTTGGCTGCTTTTGGACTGGGATGCATTTTGATTGGCTGCTTTTGAAAATGGGAGCTGAGATGGTGTGGGGGGGCGGGGGTGGGGGGTCATGTACACATGAAGCACTTTGTGACCGGTCGTCTTTTCAGGAGCCCTTCACCCCGACAGAGGAGCACGTGCTGGTGGTGCGTCTCCTGGTGAAACATCTGCACGCCTTCTCCAACAGCCTGAAGCCCGAGCAGCTGTCGTCCTCGCCGTCGGCCCACTCGCACACTCACACCAGCCCCCTGGAGGAGTTTAAGAGGTCTGCGTCTTCACACTTTTCATCAAACATCCTCCAAGTCTGTTCACATGTGGAATAAACACAAAGACCATCCTGCGGTGGCGTTTTCTGTAATTTCACTGCATCTGCTTTTGCAAAACTGTTGATTGAGCACAAACTGTTCCATGTCCGTCTTTCCCACAGAGTGGTGGTGCAGCGTTTCGTTCAGCAGAAACTCTACCTGTTTCTTCAGCATTGCTTCAGTCACTGGCCTCTAGACGCCTCTTTCAGAGCGGTAGGTCTCACTCTTCCATTTTTTAACCTCCGGGCTTCCGACAGTCGCCCGATGTTCGCAGTAAGAGCTCGTGGTTCAGTTCCTCTTTCACCGACACAGCTTTTAGTTTGCTGTTAAGAGATTGGTATCGTCTGTGTGTGTGTGTGTGTGCAGGTGTTGGAGACGTGGCTGAGCTACATCCAGCCGTGGAGATACACAGGGGAGAAGACCAATCCTCAGCCAGACCAGAACAGAACGGTACCGGAGAAATGGTGAGTCCGATGTCGTCTTTACTCCCGGACCCACATTTCTTTAATCACCTTCATTAAATGAGAGAGATCATAAAGTGTCGGAGGATAAAGTCGTATTGACTGTAGTTATTAAAGTCGGTTCTGTAACTTGCTCGTTTTGCAGGGAGTCGTTTGTTCAGGAGAACCTGCTCATGTACACGAAGCTCTTCCAGGTCTTTTTGAACAGAGCGGTGAGAACAGATCTGGTCAACGCCAAAAATGCACTGATGGTCTTCAGGGTGGCCAAAGTCTTCGCTCAGCCCAACCTCGCAGATATGATCCAGAAAGGTGAGGACGCGTGAACCAGTCAAAGTATTATTTATCTCTCTCAGTGATCGGTGCTTTTTCCGGCTGTTTTCCAGCGACATGTTTCCACTGATGCTCCATTTAATAAAAGGAAAACAAAACAGAAAACTAATCCAGTCACCTCTCTCCGCAGGTGAGCAGTTGTTTCTGGAGCCTGAGCACGTCCTCCACCACCGTCAGCCCCGCGGCTACCTGACGCCGAGCCAAGGAGGCAGCTACCTGTCGTCGCGGCAGAAGGTGGTGACGGACATGGTGTTCAGGGTGAAGAGCCACGTCTACGCCCTGGAAGGCCAGGACTGTCAGTACAAGCAGATGTTTGGCACCGAGCTCAGGGGAGCAGTAAGTTCGACATTTTATTTTAGATTAAAGTCAAAGGTTCTGTTTCAGTCACAAACCTAGTGGAGTGGCAAATAGATTGACCTGAGGTCGTGCTGAAAATACCTGCTGTGGCGGCTCAGAATCTCAGTTTTCCGTCCATTTGGCAGGTGATGAAGTTAATCCAGATCATCGCACAAGCCAGACAGACAGCCAAGAGGATATCGGACCACTCCAGTGAGGTGGCGGCCAATACCTCCTTCCTGTCCTGGTTTGGTCTGGGCTCCTCCGATCTCAACAACACCTTCTCCGGGGCCGAGCCAGAGGAGAGCGGGGAGTGTCTGAAAAAGACCCACGAGTTTCTGGACAGAGCTTTGGAGAACCTGTGTCAGATCTTCAAGGTCGGATCACTGACGCGTGTTTCATTCCCTCCCAATAAGCATTTAATTCAGAGAATAGATTTTCATCAGCGTATTTAAATGTGATGCACAACTGTAGTAAATAAGAGTTCATCTGATTCAGTAGCTTTTGGGTTTTTAGAAACAGTTTTCAATGTGTTTAAGCCTAGAAATCAAAGAACTGGCCACATTTTGATTCATACCAGCAGCACGGCTGTATGGACACGTGGTCGGTTCATTTCCGTCTGAAATATCTCGACAACTCTTTGATGAATTATCGTGAAATTTGCAAAAGATATTCATGGTTACCTGAGGAATGTGTCCGTATGACTTTGGCGATCCTCTGACGTTTCCTCTTGCACCACCACGAGGTTGACATTTGTGAGAATAAATGAGATTAACTCTTCACTGACTCGTTCATGTAAAAACGTTCTGACTGCGGCTGTTGTTTTTAACTTTATATCTCGTTGTGTTGTAGCTGACCCAGGGGCAGCTGACTCAGCTCATATCAAACCTGGGTTCTTCCCAGGATGACGGCAACTCCAAGCAGCTGCCCGACTGCATCCAAGGAGAGACGGGACTTATCCTAACTGACCTGGGCAGGAGGCAGGTCAGTGTTTCAAATGTGACTGCACATGAGGGAGCTGTGGGCCGAGCGGCAAACACTAACACCCTGACACTGTGCGTGCGTGTGTGCGTGTGCGTGTGTGTGTGTAGATCATGAATGGACTGCGCAGGTTTGACATCCAGTATCAAGGAGACCCGGAGCTCCAGCCCATTAGGAGCTATGAGAGCGCCCTGCTGGTCAGGCTGTTCTACAGGATCTCCTCTCTGGTCAATGACAAGGTGAGTGCTGCCAACAAAATGTGTCTTCACAACTACATTTGTTTGAATTTGTATTTGCTTCTTCTATCATCATTATTTTTTATATTTTATCCTCCCACAGTTCGGGGGGCACATGAATGCGCTCTGCTCACGTCCAGACTTCCTGGGTCGCCTGGGTCGTCGCTACCTGACAGATCACGATTCCAGCACAAAACTAAAGCACAGCCCGCTGTCCCGGCGCGGACTAGAGAGGAACCGCCTGCCTCGGCTGAGCCTGCGCCCGCTGGCGAGCTACAGGACGATGCTGCTGCTGCTGCTCCTCTACGTGTTCGGAGCCCTCATGTCGTTTGGTCCCGTATCCAGCACTGTGGTCATCCTCGCAGGCGGGCTCCTGTATGGACTCGTGATGACGTTGTTTGGAGACAAACTGAAAACACACTAGCTGAGCTGAAGGCTTCCTACGCATCTGGAAATAAAAACAAAAAACACACATGATCAATTTGATCAATTCCAGCTTTGAATGTTTGGCTAAAAATGTGTGAATACCAACGACGCAAGTGTCGAGTAGTCCCATGCAACGTATGATGAATAATGTAGTGAACTGTTGATCAAGGGCAACTAACAATTACTTTCATGATTGATTAATCTGCCAGTTGTTACTTGATTAATTGTTTGGCCTGTATTACATCAGAAAACAGTTTAAAAATGCCAAATATAATTTCCTAAAGCCAGGAGTGATGTCATCAAACGTCCCATTTTGTCCGATCAACAATTTACTGCGACGTAAAGAAAACACATTTGCGTATCTTAAAAAGCACAGCGTGTGGTTCTTTTTATTTCACTTAAATTAATCAGTTGCCAATAAAGTTTCATTCAGTTGACTAATTGATTAATCAGGTGATCGTTGCAGGTGTTTATTGATCCCTGTAAAGAAATAGAATAGTGTGTGTCCATCCACAGTGATGTCACTCAATGATTGAAAAGCCATATCGTCTTGTGTTTCTGAACATAGAGAGAAAGTGGTTTTCTTAAAGGACAGTATTTTGAATTGGGGGGGGGTGTAGGGAACCTGTTGGCAGCAGAGTGAAAATGAAACTGGCAGCTCTTTTGTTGTTGCTTTAGATATGAATCCTTTACTGTCTCAGATGTGGTTCATCCCTTTGTAAGGCCTTTTTTTTTTTTTTTCAACAAGCATCTGGAAGCAGGTGCAATTCAAAAATATTTAAAGTGCGTTAATCGATTGACTATTTTTCTCACTGAGAGCAGAATGCATTTTTGTCCAACAGGCTCAATAAACTATTTGCACTTGTTTGTACATTTGAAGCCTTATTAGTCCATGGGAAAAGATAAGACGGATTAAAGGTAAAGCAAAACTTCTCATTTATTATTGCAGACATTGTTTGATAAATGACCAAGTAAACGTTCCTAGCTTTTTCAATTAAACTAAAACTTTTTGTATAGTAGCTTTCATACAGTTTAGTGCAGTTCAGAGTGTTTTACAGACGACTGAGAAGCTGAAAATATTAGAATAACAGTAAAACAATTTGAGACTCATGTACACAAGAAATAACTGAAAAAAGAAAAGCTAATGATAAAGACTTAAGAATGAAATAAAGACTTGATAAAATGGATAAAACAAAGAACATTAATGAGGGAACATTTTAAAACATGATTACAATTTAATAAAATAAATTATGACCTTAAAGAGGTATAGGTCTTAACGGGTTTTAGCATTTCAAGATATCAACACTTAGCTGCTCGATTTTAAGGAGCTTTCAACTGCATCTCAAGCACCATCTGTGAGATGTGGTTAAAGTGGTAGTAAGTGGACTTTGAGTGTTTTTTGAGGGACACCTGCAGTGGCTGAGGTCAGAGTCACGATAATTCTCTACAACATGAATGAAAATCAAAGTAATGTCCACTGTAGAGATTGAAACGTGTGATGGACACGCACCAAGCAGCAGGCACATTCAAAATGTATTCAGGAAGTTATTATTATAATTATAATAATAATAATAATAATAATTATTATTATTATTATTATTATTATTA